TTTTTTTGTACATATGAGCTACAGAACTTTTGTATCAATGAAATGTTTACGTCAGGTGACAGGTTATGATTGTTCTACGATACGGAAAAAAGGTATTTTTTAATATTTTTCGTTTTACTACAAATTTATAATTCGCGCGTTTACATTTTATCTCAATTTCAATCCTGTAAAAGCGTTTTCAAATCCGTTCAGTCGTTTCGGAGTTATTACTTAGAATGCAAATGTTGGTAATTTCCGACCTTTCAGCATCCTCTTAAGAATATAATGGAAAATCACGGACTAAATTGTTACACATTAAAGAATCCTTACCGTTCTCGACAGTCAGTATTAGAAGCAATTTTATTGGACTAATGCGACAAATCTAAGGAACTTCGATGTAAGGAACTCTCATTTTTTTATGTAATAGAAAAATGTAGCATACGTTTTTAAGAAATTGTATTGTAAAAGACCACTGAGAAGGACTTGATCAAGCCGAAACGATCGTTTAGTTGTATATTTTATGTAACTGTATGTAATTATTTTTTATTAATATAACTTTTTAGCACAAATATCTAGGCACAAATAGCTTGGCTCCTTGTTCTATACTATTATTAATTATAAATTTATACTATTATTTATACTATTATACTATTATTAATTATAAATTATCGGAGCCTGAATCACTTATTGTTTAATTTAATAATTTTAAATCTAATTTTTTGGACGATAAAAAAAGACAGAGATATTTATAGATTTTACAAGTGCAGTAGAATGGAGATAGGAGCTAATGAATGCTATAAAATATTTCAATATTCAGAACGTGTTACAAATCTTTGTTATCAAATATTGATCGTAACACATAAAAAAATTAATTTATTTTGACATGCAAAAAGTTGCATAATTTTTTGCTTCTGACATTATAATTACGTATACAACATTATATTAATTTCAAAATCCTTCTTATTTAACATTCGAGTATTCATAACATAGTCATCTTTAGCAATACTTTAAATATTCATTGCAGTAAAATTACTCACTTTGTTTTGGATAGATTTGGATCACTGGTCTTCCTTTTTTCCCTCAATTGCCGCTGCAATTAAAAAAAATGCAATTTTAATTACAAATTAATTTAAATGAAAATTGATTTTATCATTTTTTGCTAAACAACGCCGTATGCTGTCCAAATGATCCACACACTAATGATTTCAAAATATTTAAAAAATATTTTAAAATGTACAAAAAATATCCTATAGTTCATAATATTGACATTAATAATAAATACCAAATATATAATGAAAAAAATTAATATTTTAGGAGAAGCTAGTCTAATCTAGAGGTTTCAAAAAATCGATTTTTTTGCTTTTTTCAAAAGCTTAAGAAAATTCTACAAAAGCGTTTTTTTGAAAAATGAAAATTGGCCAAGATATACAAGATAAAATAATCCAGTGCATGGGGCCGCTCGACCGATTCAAATAGCTCAAACCAACTATAACCGTCGCCCGTCATTATCTCTAACTTTTTAAAATCATTCTAGGAAATTTCTTTCAACGGCAGAGCAGAATTTTGTTTCTCTCTGAGCTCACTTTTGATGCACTTTTGAAATTTTAACATACAGAAAAATGTTTCAAAACTTTAAACGTGTTTTTCTCGAAACCGTGTTTTTGAACATGGTAATCACGATTAAAAAAAAAAACTATTAGTCCGATTGACTTCTACTTTTACAGTTATATTCAGAAAACATGTCATTATCGTCTGAATTAACAGTCTACGTTGACTTTTTCTATTTTTTAAGAAGCCAAAAAAATAAACAAAATTAAAACTATTTTTTCAAACTGCCGCCATTTTGTAAATATGCATGCAATATTAATAATCCTAGTTTAGATGAGAATCACTAGTCTACTCATTAAAAAAAAGCCACATTTTTGGCTCTGACCACGAAATGATTTCTATACTTTGGTTACTGTTTAACCGTATTCGCGGTGCAGGCTTAACTTTGGCGCCATATTGTACTGTTTTGTAAAAAAAATTAAAAACAAAACAAATGTTTTAATATGTACACAAGGCGTCACAAATGTCTACTCATCTGAAATTGCAGAAGCACATATACGTATATATTATTGTATATACATATATGTAATACATATACATGGGTTAGTATCCCAGATCGGAAGAGCACACGTC